TTACGCATCTAACCTGTAGGTTCTCTCTTGGCCCCCACATCACCTTCACAGTACAACAGTTTGAACTGCTTGACCAAAGGAATCATGGTCACACTGATTGTGTTTTGGGTTCATTGCTTATGGTGGGGATGTTAAAAAGTCAATTTCATCTTATTAATTTACTTTAATAATAACCAAAATACTGTGGCACTGTGAAGAATAGTTCAAGAACACTGCAAGAATGTTGCAGCCATTCTGAAAACTTTTACCAGCTAAATTCTCCTGCAACTGGAAGCTGGATTGCAGAGGACTCTGTCCTCAGGATTTTTGTCAGTTGTCTTCTGTTTATTTTAAAATAATGTTAAAAATTCAGTGCATGTTAAGCTGAAAGCTTCAGTCTCCTGTAACTTCTCGCCTATTGATATCTGTGCCACTACTATTAATTAGTTTTACTTGTTTTCAGAATAGGCTTTTTCCTTAAAAGTTATTTTGTGTCTGAATATTAATTTTGAAATGTGAGTAATCTTAATATTGCTGAATAGAATGGCTTGTTTCATTTCTGGCTATACAGGATGCAGTCATGCAATGCACTTTCAGAAATCCTAGGTCCAGAAAGAGTAGCACACTGCAACAGTGCCTCTGGTTGTTACTGTGGGAGAAAAAATTAATTCACTGCTTCTGTCTCTTCTTGGGATTGATACAGGGGAAGTGACATGTTGCTGCTGACCCCTTCTGCTCACAGATTATCATATGGCCCAGGAGGATAACTCTTTGCACAGTTCATTTTGGAGGCATAGCACAGCTTGGATCACCATACAAAAGCTCTTTTGATCTTTTTAATGACTATATCACATTCTTTTGACTGAGATGTGTATGTTCCCATAGGATGGCGTTAGGTATAATTGAGTGCAGGTATCGAGAGCAGTATAGCAGTGTGAGTTGAGATTGTCTCTTGGCTAAAAAGTGGGCACCTGCTGCACTGCTTTGACTTCTCAGTCCATTATGGCTAGAGATGGCTGGGGGTCTTGGCAACGATATTACCTAGAGGACAGCAAGGAATTACTTCTCCATGTAAATGAAGGAGGTTGAATTACAGAGAGTTTATTCCTTTTATTGTTGTTTTCCAAATAGGATAAGACTGGTTACCCTTTTGTATCACTGATCAAATAAAGTGCATCTAAATAACAGGCAAACTTGTGTATGCTGGTCAACAGCAGTGAAAAAAATCTCTCTATCGAATCTGGATGTTCATAAAATAATTCAGATTCACTGAAGGTTAGCATTATCAGACTGAGTGCCAGTTTCCTTATGTTTAGCAATCCATTGGTGGCATTTAAGCTATTCAGCTGTTGAAATGTTTGAGGATAATTAAAAAAGTAGTATTTTAGCAATTCAGTGCTACTATTTGTTAAGTTAATTAAACAAGAAGAATTGAAAACAGGTAAATCATCATAAAAGTCTAGATTCTTTTAAGGTCAGCAGTTCCACTAATTTTCTATAATACATAATAAGAAGTGCAGTTCCTGAATGTCAACATTAATATGGTTCAAGAATTGCAGCTTCAAACTGTTTCAGGTACAGCCAATATTATTTTTTTGTCCATAGTGACAAAATTAACTGGTTTAAATGCATTGCTTGCATCTAAAATATTTGTTGTTCATCATGCATTAGAATTTAAAGTTCTTATAGGGAATCATTAATTTGGTTTTTTAGTACAGGAGGAAAAAAGTAAATAATGAGTGTGACTTATAAGCAATTTCACAGGCTTTCTGCTGACCTAGTATAGGAAAGTTGTTAAATTTCTCGTCACCTTGTGAAACCAGGTCACCTAGCTAGATATGATTATTTCACTTTTTCAAATGAGAAACCGGCTTTTAATGTGTGAGCTATTGGCCCCAAGGAGGAGGGGAAAAAAAAAAACCCAGCAAGACTTCTATGCAAAGAACTTCTTTGTTTTGAATGATGTCTGAGTGAATTCTGAATTACTTAAATTTCTTACAGTGTAAATCATTCTGTTCCTTAATGATAATACAGGATATATTTTCCTCTCTTAGATCATGCATGCAATGAAAGAACTTTCTCAATTTTATGGTATGCAAAAATGTGAGACTGTTAGGATATAATTTAAGATACGGATTTTGCCCAAAAGAAATTACATTCTTAATTAATGCTATCCTGTTTCCATATCTGTCTGTAAAATTACGAGAACGTACTTCTGTTAGAAATGTTCCTGAGTTATTGCTTATATGGTGGGTGTATTTCAGTTATGCTATGATTTTGGCCTCTGCTGGCATTCTGCAAAGTTATTTGTTACTTCTGTCAACTTCTATTTCTAATGCTTCTGCTCCTATAAACAAATTGACTTGGATGAAGTCATGAACCTCTGTATGGTTTGTGTGATCTGCACATTTCAAAAAAATGTGCTGTTCTGGCTCGTGTTTTGGAGCTGTGTAGTTATCTCTCTAAAAGTGAATATGGTTGCTAGTATTTGACAACCTTCCTAGAAATTATCCTAAAACTGAATTTTTCCAAATTTAGACTATAATCAGAGTTAATATATATGTTTGTTTGTTTATTTACAATCTTCTCTCCCATGTGCAATCAGATGGTTGGAAAACATCTGCTGCTCCTATTCAGGTTTTTGATCTCATCAACTTGCTAACTAATCTTTTGGTTCAACAAATTCATCTTGTTTGTTCTTACCTGTAGACACTGTTTCATGTAAAAGTCATTACAATTTATTTTCATACCAGTTCTCCATCTTTTTCCAAAGATCAATCTTCAGTGCCAACAATGGTGGAAAAACTTACATTTGTTATCATACGTTAACAAAATGTATTGTATGTTTTGGGATTTCTGTGTATGTTTTACAAATGTACAAATCCTCTTCACCTTCTTAAGAACTTTAAGGTTATAAAGTCAAGCAGCCTGCAATAAGGAGAAATAAGTTTTAAGTCTGGCTGGTGCTTGTAGCAATTAATCTACTCTTCGTACATGCATTATCTCAATTCTGTGTGAGATAGTATTTTTATTGCAATACAGCTACTGCTTTGACTTAGCTCACAGTGTTTAGCTTGCAGCAAACAGCTTTCTGTAAATGATGCTGGGTCAGAAAAAGACACAGCGAGCGTCTGCATGAAGCTGTATTTTTTGTGACCGGTTTGCCAGTTCGTAAGACTTCTGATACCTTTCTATTCCTTTCGATATCAGAGCATTCTCTCTGTTCACTCATTGCAAATCATCTCACCTGAGAAATAACAAATACATAAAAGATTCTGTAGACAAGCTCCTGAGATCTTCCTAGTGTAGTGTTATCTTGTGAATTGGATGATTTGGGGTGAGATGGGGGGACACGGGGATGTAACAGAAATCTTGTCATGTAATGTGTGCCTTGAAAGGATATTGAACTGAGGCAATTCACATTGAACTGGTTCACATTTCCTAAATGTGGAGGTTTTGGTTTAGTAATATTTCTGTCCTTATATGCACAAGTGTACATCTGTGTGCAGTACATGCAAAGAAAAGGAGAAATTATAATCCTATTGAAGTAAATAAGAATTGGCTATTCAGTGAGATCAGGTTTTTACCAGCTTTATAGTGTGTCCACAGCCTCCCCATCTTTTTGTGTAATACCACTAACTCCAGACTTAAAGCACCATTCATAAGAGGAAGTTTTTTGGAGTAAAGGTGGGGACATCCGTTTTTGTCAAAATGGAGTTTATTCCTTCTGTAGTAATTGCCTCATGAGTCTACTGCCTACAAAGTCTGTTACATAAAGTATGAAAAGTAGAAAGGGTCTCCTTCACTGCCTTATGCCAACTGCATGCATAGGTAAATTGTAACAGTGATGCTGACTGATGTGCTTTGTGCTAGGTGTACCCCTTCCATCTCACCCACTGGGGGTGGTTGGTGAGACCCTGCATGCTGCTGTGGAGCTTGTACTCTTCTCTGAACAGAAATCTGGTAGTAAGCGGGGTCGTAGTTGTGCTATCTTGGGAAATTGATTAGAGAGAAACCATAACATTGACAAGCATTGAAGATGCAGGCAAAAAAAGTTTCACTACCTCATGGGACTGGCTGATTGAGGTGGGTGAGGTCTTTGGAGCCATAGCTTGCAGGAGATGCACCTGACGGAGCCCGTGCCGAGGGTGGCAGAGAGGGCAGTGGCACAGAGGGTGAACAGTAGAAACAAGATATGGGGGTCTTTGAAGCTACTGAGACCAGTGTCCTGGGAGAGGAGGTGATGAATAGTAGGAAAACTGTTTCTGAAACTATTTTGTTCTGCAGTACAAATTTTCTTACAAATGCCCTCCATGTGCTTACTCACTTTGGAACCTCTTTTTGATTTCATGTCCATGCTTTCTTTGTATGTGTGTTACACCCTGTTCCTGTTGTTCTGAATTTCAAAAAAATCTCCTCAACTTCCATAGGTTGGTTTACACTTTAAATGTGTAAATTTTCAACACAGTAGGTGATTTGGTAACCTACTGGTGACATGTAATTTGTAAATAATTGGGACGGGGGGCAGGGGATGACAGCTTTTCAACTTCTGTTACGGCTAGAAATTACTGTAAATCCATAAAATCTTGGGGACAAAATCTTACCTATTATAATTTTCTTTCCATTTCTGTAAGATCTCTTCCCACAGAGTATAACCATCTTTAGAGAGGCAAAGTACAGTGACAAGTATGGGTATTAAAATGTAATATCTGTTCAAACACTGACCTATCTAGATGTCTATATAGATAGCTGACAATTTTTCCTAAACCCATATCTGTAATCATAAAAATATATTCAGTAAAAGACGAAGATTTAAGGAAGACAAACTTTTTAGGAAAAGGCTAACGAAAAATGGGGAAGAAATCATTGAAATGGTAAAATGTCCAGTACAAGTACTATACATGCAAGTGGGGAACGTGGTATAAGGAACTCTCATTGATCGCAAGGTTTCTAAAGCTTACAAAATACATTCATGTTATTTCAGCTGGGAAGTTTTGAGATTCCTTCTGTCTAATTTGAGAATGTGGATTGAAGACTATCGTTTTGATGGCTTCCGATTTGATGGTGTTACATCTATGTTGTATCACCATCATGGGATTGGTAAGTAATTTAATCAACTCTAATCTCAGCAGTCCTGTTGTAGCTCTGTTGCTGTGGAAATAGTGCTATAAAGTTCACTGAATGCTCAAAAAATTCCAGATCTTGTTGTGCTGCTATATGGAGAGATCTGAAATGATGAATAAACTTGGTGCTTATAAAATTGTATATTGCAAAATATCTGTGTTCTTTAAAAAAGCAGCTGTGGCCTTTAAAACTTCCTGTCTTATTAGGCACAGGATTCAGTGGAGATTACAACGAATATTTTGGCCTACATGTGGATGAAGATGCTTTGTGTTATCTAATGATGGCAAACCACATGATTAAATTCTTGCATCCGGAATGCATAACCATAGCAGAGGTAAGGTCAGAATTTGCCATCCTCAATGCCATTAATATTGATTAGTTTGCTTTGGGATGTGAGTTTCCTCTTAATTATCAAGTCATACTTCGGGTACTCCAGGAATGACATGAGCTGAGAAATATTAATTACTGGACAGATTTTTGCCTTGTGGGGAAAAACAACTGGCATATGCACTTTGGGAATTTCTGTGCATTAATGGGTCAATAATTAATGTGGGGATTTCTTTTTTTTTTTTCCCCCTTCATCTCCTTGAACTTGTAATGAGTTTTGGTTTTATCAGTTTATTGCTTTTGCATGATTGTCATTTGTCACTAGTGATTCATGATACTGAAGATTAACAGCCCTAGTGTGGTTTTGCATATTTCGAATTATATTGGCATAATTGATAATTTCTCTTCACAATAAATGCAATAAAATTATAAATGTTGCATGTGTGTGCTAATTTAAATTTAGTATTAAGTTTCTCCAGGTTTCTGAGGAAGTAAATAGACCATAATACTTGAGTTGATTGAGATCAGTTAAACTTTTTTGACTGAGAAAATATTATTGTTGGCATGTGGAATTTTTAATAGTACAAAATGGCAGAGCATTAAAGTTTTATGAGTAGGTACATTATCATCATGTAAACCTTGAGGATTTTTGTTATGTTTAAATAATTCTTTTCATTTAAAAGAAAGTTGCATCTATCTGGTATCGTTAGGGACTATATGGATTTCTAATAAAACCTTTTCTATTGCTTAAGAGTTCCCTATTTATCTTCAGAAAACAAAATACTGCTTAACTTCATTTCTTATGGTAAAGTTTTATATTATAGATAACCACTGCTAAAAGCTTAATGACAAGCTATCAAAAACATCATCTAGTGAGCAATCACTAGGAAACTTGAGATGGTATCATTGAGCTATAGGCTTATTTGAAGTGAAATTTGTTCGTTTTCTTGGTAGTCTTAGTTTATAAGTATTTCTACCAATGAAATTCTTTGAGTTCAGTCTGCTTGTATTACCTGGCCTAAGAGTTTTTTAATAAGATGTGTCTTCAGTTTATCTTGCTTGAGTTGAAAACTGCTTCTGTTTCAATACATCATTTTTCTGCCTGGGGGAGTCACTACATGAAATACAGAATTGATCAATGTGCTGCATGGTTAGTGGAGATTTTCAGAAGGAGAAACTGTGGACATAATTGAAAATTACCAAAGGTGATGAAGACTGTCTGCTTGTCTATAATGATGATGGAATGAGTGCCATGTGAGAAAAATGTTTTTGTCTAGCCATAACTAGTTATAATATATTCCTTAATTATTTGACTGATAATTTTTACAGCTTTTTAATATTCTGTATATTCACTGTCTTAGTCATTTCTAAGTTTTTAGGTATTACTGACTATATGCTTATTTTTCATTTTGGCCTTCTAAATAAAGCTGTGATTGAAGTTTTGTATAATGAGAAGAAAAAATGTTAAGTAAAGTTACATCACACCTGAAGTATTATAAAAACAAACCAGCAAAAAAACCCTACTGCTGTGATTTCTTTTTTATATATATATATACACACAGAGCTCATTTCAAACTAAGGTCTGAACAAACGCTTAGGCATTGGCTATTTACATTTGGTGGAAAATACACGGAACAAAATAGCACTGAATTTTTTTTTTCTTGTGTTCAGGTAAAAATCTGTAGATATAGATAAAAAGTATTACATTTAGAATTTTACTTCTCAAAAATCTGGCTTTCAAAATTGTGACTAAAGTAGATGGGAGCTACTTAAATCTCAGACTCAGACCTTGTCCAGGTAGTCATCGTAGCATCACAGAGAAAGGCTTTTGTTTTAGATCGTGTCCTGTGTAAACTGTAGCCCATTAGTCTGTGTTTATCCGCTCTGACTGATTTGAGAGCTATTGAACTTAACTTTTATAATATCTAAAAGTTTGGAAAGAACTTCACTTTGTTACTTGGTATTTACAGCATGTGGAATGTGGATGCAGTTTTCTGTGCGATCTCATGACTGCTGGGTAGAGGGGGATAATCCCCGTCTTTGATCTCTTGGCTTTGCTGTTCACCCAGCCCGGGATGCTGCTGGCTGTCCCTGCTGCCAGGGCAGGCTGCTGGCTCACGCTCAGCTTGCTGCTGGCCCGGAGCCCCAGGGCCTGCCCAGCAGAGCTGCTCCCCCAGCCTGCATGGATGCAGGGGTTAGCCCATCCCAGGGGCAGGATTTGACAATTGCCCTTGCTGAACTTCCTGAGCTTGCTGTTGATGGGTTCCTCTAGCCAGTCAGGGTCCCTCTGGATGGCAGGCCTGCCTTCCACCCCCCAGGATGCCATCCGTGAGCTTCATGGTGATGTGGTCGGTCTCCTCACTTATGTCAGTATGGGGGGGCGGGATGTGTGTGTGTATGCGTGTACGCGTAGGTATGTATAACTTCAAGTGCAAATATCTTTTTCGCTAGTCTAATGCAGCAGTTGGATTCAAAACTGGATTGAATCCAGGAAACCAGAATGAGCTTCCTAATTAAGCCCTGGTTCTAGTCAGAATTTAATTCCATAAATTCTCTTGTGTAGACACAAGAGGTGTATGTTAATCCATAGCCATTGTGGTGGAATGGCTTCTCACTGACATAAGCTAATAAAACTGAGTACTGATAGATATTTTGCAATTATTGGAGATTTGCATTTTCTATACAGATAAGCTGACTTTAGAAAAAGAATGTTATTTGACATAATTGCCTAATAAAATGGTGAAATAAATATTTTAAGAACTTTGAATTACAAATTTAAGAATGATCAGCCTTCATCAATATGAAAGTGGAAAATTATGCAGTAAGAGCATGTCACTTTCCAGGGCTAGCTGGATCATTAGTTTTGGGTTTGTGCATTTAGGAAAAGAGTAGAGATTATATTTTTCTTCCTTACTGTACTTTATATTCAGCCTTCTATTTTTATGCCATTCTTTATGTAAAACATCAATAAACAAAATGAAGGTTTAATTTGTCTTTTGTTGACTACTTTCCACTTTCTATTGATTACTTAGAGCTCAAGAGAGCTAATTATTTTAAATCCTGCATTTACTGAGATCTCTTCCCCCTCAAATACCTACTCTATTAAAATATTTTGTAGTAAGAGTATTTGAAGAGAAAACTCATAATGTAACATAGTGTAACTTTTGCATTCAAACAGCAAGTCTGGGTGTAGTAATCACTGATTCCCCCCCCCGCCCCCTTACCCAGGTCAATCTATGAAGCTGTTTATAGTTTACAGAGTATTTCTGTAGAAGTATTACTGTATGGTGGAAAATCTGAACTACTAATTGCAATGCCTTGCAAATTATGTTGTGGGTTTTTATTTAAGGATGTTTCTGGAATGCCAGCTCTTTGTCGTCCTGTTGCAGAGGGAGGAGGGGGTTTTGATTATCGACTAGCCATGGCTATTCCAGATAAGTGGATACAGGTGAGAACTTTATTAAAAAAAATCTTGAAAGTGGGATGTTTTTCTATCTGTGCATACACAAAAACACTTCTGAATCCTACTGAAAGATTTTACTCTCTCTTCTTTTAATGTCCTTTTAAAATAAATTCTGACAGGCCTGAGCACAGGTATTAGTGGCTGAAATGAGAGCTCTAAGATACCATGTAGGCCTCAGAAGATGAGTAAGTTCAGGGGCTATTCTTTGCATTCAAGCTGATATCTGTTTTCTTCATACAATACACACAGACTCATTTTGTTCAAAATAACCTGTAACTTGCAACAGCTGTAGAATGTGTAGTCTATAGTGAATGTGAACAGGGAGATAAGAAGTTAACCGTATGTGTATAAATATTAAAAAAAAACCCAAGCCATGCAATGAACCCTCCTGAAATTGGGCATAGTAATTAGCATTGAACACAGATAGAGCTGAAAGTTTAACCAAAGTAAATGTAAATGAATCATACAAACACCAGCAATTGGTACAGTGAGGTTACAAAAAGAATAATAAAAATCTGCGAATGCTCTTCGAGAACAATAATATACTAATAAACACTGACTACAACAAGGATTCGGATCACCTTTTCCTTAATACAGAGAATTGCAAGAAAAGGAATAAAACGCTAAATGCTCTCAAAAAGCTTCTACTGATGTTTTAGAGAATGTTTTTCAGTTAGATTGCATCCAAATCCCTCAGGCTATCATAATCTGAAAACAATAAATGTTTTATATGAGCATTAACGCTTCAATAAATGTAGTGAGTAGCTTAAAATAAAAAGCAAATTAACTTATCTTCAGCATCTTTCACTTTTGTAACTAGGAGATGGAGGGCAGATTGAAAAACAGTTTTCAAACCTGCTTTTCATTCAGAATACAAACTCACCAGCTTTTCTGACAGAGACAGCATCATTAAACTTGAGACTGCTTGCTCTCCTTTCTCTCCAGCTTTTAAGTATGTACCTGTTAATAGCAAGTTTTCTAGGCAACTTCCTAAACGCAGTTGTAGGCCTGAAGGATCTCCAAGGTTCCACGGAGTAATTCTGAGGAATCTGTAAAAGTGGGTGAGATAAGCTGATTGTCATAACAGTGGCTATACTAGTTCACATTAAATATCTACCTAGTACATAATATGATGCTGCATAGGGACCTGAATGTTTTCAGGGCCAGAATTTATAGAGTTATTTAAAAAAAAAAAAATCCTGTTTAAAAGTACATGGCCAGTTATAATCAGAATGTTAGATTTTACAGTATCATATTAGCCATCTTGATGTTATTGCATTTTAATCACCTTTATGTCTGTATATTTATGTATATGTATTTAAGTTGTAGTGATCAATGGAGGTCTATAAAGTTCTACAGAAAAAAGAAAGGACTGACACTGGAATTGGACTAGGTTTAGAAGAGGGAGGAAATAGTATCATATCAGGCAGAAAATTCCTATTGATGTAATTTAATTTAAATTCCTAAAAATCAGGAGCTAGTGTGACAAAAAAAAAAAAAGTAAAGATTGTTTTGTATTCCAAAGCTTTCGTTTTAAGCCTGTGGTTTGGAACTGACCAGGAATTCGCAGATCAGGGAACATGCAAGTCCCTGCACTGAGGACCTTCTCACGTATTGTGTACTTCATGGCAACAGCATAGTGGTATCTTGCAGTAATCCATCTTCAGCTATAGTTGGAAGCTGCCATATGCCAGGGTTACTTGAAATGCAGGACTACTTTCAATACTTTGTGTAGGTAGGTGTGTGTGCCCACATATTTCACACACACACACCCCCCCACCCGGTTTTTGGTGCAGTGCTCTTTTGCAGCTCCTAGCAATTGCATTGCCCACTGTATCAGAGCATTCACGTGATAGATGGCAAGTCCAATTGTCCATGCTTATATGTGGAAGTACAGAAGAAACAAAGTGTTCTAGTTATTATATTTATGTAGTGGAATTCAAAAGAAAGAAATCTTTTCAGATTATCAGAGAAAGCTCGTTGCTTCAAAGTTGGGAATAGGAGAAGTTAAAGTAATACAGTTCACAATTCATTGGACATTTCAGTACCAGGATAACAAAAAAAAGGTGCTTTTAGTTAAAACAGAAATAATTTTTCAATGATCTTTTCTTTATTTCTGCAGATAATTAAGGAGCTGAAAGATGAAGACTGGAATATGGGCAATATTGTGCATACATTAACAAACAGACGGTATGAAGAAAAGTACATTGCATATGCAGAGAGCCATGATCAGGTATTGTATTTGTTTACATATGAACAAGTAAAAGATGAGGTTTAGAGGCTTAGTGGGTTATGGGTTTTTTTAAAAATTGAGGCAGGAGTTAAGGGTAGGCAACAATTTCAGAGATAGGTAGATCTGGACTACTGCTTTTTGTTTGTTTGTTTGGGTTTTCTTGTGGGTTCTTTTTTGTTTTGATCCTTCTTTTTAATAAATAAATCCTGCTTGGAGTGGGTAGGTGGTGTTATTTTTCAGTTTTGTTTTGTTTTTTAAGAAATGAGTCCTAGCTTCTTGTTTTGCCTGCCTGTCATAGGACGTAAGAAGGCATATAATCCATGTTTTTGAAGATCTGGTTTCCATAAAGTAAGCTGGAGCACTACTTAAGATAAGCATAAACAATACCATAATTTAGCAAATTTATTCACAAGTGTTTGCAACTTGTATTCCCTTCAAGAAGATGTTTCCTCTCTGAAAGGACTGCAAACACCAATCCTCTTCAGAGATCTAAATGAAATATTCTTTCACAGTTTGATTCAAAACACAGCAATTGTAATGGTTTTGTATACAGAAAAAATAGTAATGACGAGTTTGGATAACACTCATCCCCCACAGTCTTTTGTAATGTTTTTTTCTGAAGAATCAGAAAATGCGTTGGTTGAGAATTTTAAAATTAGGAACTTTAGAAAATATAATCCATTTTCTAATAAAAGGTTTAAGTAACCTACCTTCAACTCTTTTCTCTACATAATAGAGGTTGATGTTCTATTTCCTGTACCTTCTATAATAAAAGTCCAAGAAGTGTCCAAAACGAGACCTGTATTTTATTTTTAAAAGATAATTCTAAGTTTATCAGCTTCCTTTTATGTACCTATCTACATTCTTATCCCAGACTGTTATGCAGTGTTCACTTAAGGCACAAGAGGCGAGTCCTAATCCTGGTAAACAACTTCAGACATTACTTGGAAATGCATATTATTCTGTGATTATTTGCTTTTTATGAAAGCTGATTCTTTGTCCTAAAGCATGACATACAGCATTAGTGTTGCTGGTTTTTTTTTCATGCTGGATTTTATCAATTGAGTTGTTTCCCATATTACTATGTATTTTGTTTTAGAATCTCATACTTGGGAAGATCTACTTATTTTTAATTTAAAAAAAAAAAAGAAAAACTATGATGATTGCAGATGAACACCAGGATGATATGTGAAAAGCAGACAGAAACAAAATGGGGGTGTAGATAAAACGCAGTGTGGAGATACTTGAAGTGATGCTCATGAGGGGCTGAAACAATTCCAGTTTCTTAATGTAATAATGGGCTACAAGCTCACTATTACCAGTCAGAATACAGAGCCTTGCGTTATAATAAGTGTATGAAAATAGCAACTCAATGCTAATAGCTGTCAAAAAAGCAGATACGGTACTTGGAATTGTGAATGGAATGGAGAGCAAAGAACAAAATCAGTATGCCACTCTAGTCTTTCATGATTTGTGTGCATCTTGAATGTTGGAGGCAGATCTGGTCCTGTTATCTCAAAGGATATACAGCATAACTGGAAAAAATGCTGTGAGAGAGTTGGTAAGACTAATAGCAGGTGTGGATTGGTTTTCATAAGAAAATAACTAAATAGCTAAGACTTCAGGGTAGAAAAGTGATCGTTGAAGGGGGAAGGATAACATTTTATAAAATCATGGCTTGCATAGAAAACATGAATAGGGAACATTTACTTTCTCTTCTAATGGAAAGATTAGGGGACATTAAATGACACTAACAAATGCCACATTCTGAGTCCAGAGAAGAGTTGTTCCTTGCAGTTGTTCACTGCAGTCTTCAGTCTTGCCACTGTTGCATAGGATTTTTTTTGAAAGAGTATTTTTCACTTGAGGGGATCATCTATATATGCTGTTATATTGTTGGTTGGAAAACTAAAGGGTGATGGTGCTTTTCAGCTAGACCTGTTTACAACTCACCTGGCTCTCTGGAATCTAGTGAGTTTTCATGCTAGAGTATAAAATGAGAATTGGGCTAATTGAACGAAAATTAGCTATTTACATACAAATGCTCCGAAACATTTTCAAATGCCTGCATGCTAATATGTTAGATTAACACTTGTTACATAGCAGTTGTGTGGCCTTTGTCAAGTAACAGCACTAGCAAGTTAGTAATTCAGTCACTGTTTTTAGACAGAATTACTAGTTTGTTTTTTTTCTCTTGAGTGAAATCACAGAAAACCAATCACATTCTTGATTGCATATAAATGAACATTTCATATTCACTCTGCATCTCTAAATCATGAGTGTTGTTAATAGCCCTTTATTTGCACATCCCAGGAACTTTACTTGAGATGTTTGCTTTATTTTCTGTGTTTTCTATAAAAATTCCAAAATGGTAGGTCACTTGTGGCTTATTGAGTTGATGCTAACATTTCACATTTGATATCTGTAGGCAAAAAGGTTCTCAGAAGTAATTATGCAGTTTGATCCCATCAGGTGAAATGTAGGACCACAACAGGGGTTAGAGAGCTATTAGTTTATTGATAATATATATTGATTTATATACTTGCACTCCCGTCGGTGAGCAGAGCCCCAGTAACCATGTGAAGGGATGGAAGGGGAAAACAGACGGGCGGGTCTGGCATCCAGTCGAGGCTCAGCTCAGGGATGTCCCTGCCTCAAGTTCAATACTTTCTCTTTTTGACAACAGATTATATATATCACACCCACATGATTACACATCACACAATACAAAGTTAAAATAATTGGAAGCTAGGGTCATTGTGACCTGATGATCATTGGCAGTAGCAGGATGCTTTCTTTGTGAACAGGGACTGGATCATGCACACCAAGCCATGTCCTTGGCTCCTCACCTATCTCCCAAGTCCTCCCCTTACTGTATAGAGTGCCTGCTTTAAAAAAACATGTTAGAAATACTTTTACTACACCCAAGGGTTTTCTTCACTTTGTTTTTGAACTGTTGTAGGCACTTGTTGGTGATAAGACGTTGGCGTTTCGACTGATGGATGCAGAGATGTATACAAACATGAGTGTGCTCTCGCCTCTTACTCCAGTTATTGATCGTGGAATACAGCTTCATAAAATGATTCGTCTCATTACTCATGCACTTGGAGGAGAGAGCTATCTGAACTTCATGGGTAAGTAATCTTAGGAACAAGTCTTTCATTTTCTCATCTACAGAATGCTTGGCAGGGCAATAAAACGATCTGACATCATCTTACATCCACAGTATTTATCACAATGCTGAAGTTTGGAGCATAAATGCTTTTATAAAGATTTAGTACAAAAAGTAATATGCATTGTTTTTCTGTCTGTACGATGTATTATAAGACAAGAAAATAAAATCAATGTGGTTCCTACTTGTAACAGAAATAACTTAAAAATGTGGTAAGCTCTAGTTCAGGTTACTCTGATTTACAACTCAGACTATTTTAATTGTTGTTCTGCAAGTTTGTCAGGTGGTGAGTGTTACATAGTCTTTCATCTCAATTCTTCTACTCTCCTAAACTTTTTAGGGTAACAGTGAATTGACTAAAGATAGCTCTGTGCTTATTTCAGTTATTTATTGTCAGGAAGTAATCTGGAATCAGTTGAATTATATTTAATTTCTTCTTAGTGAAGAGCAGGGGCTTAATGAGGTAGGCGAGGACAAATCATAGAGATAGGTGCATCCTGCTATGGAAGCAGGGAAATAGTAAGAGTTAACAATACTTTCTTTTTGTTCATAAGCTGTAAAATACAACTGTTGCATTGCTTCCTAAGCACTATAGCTACAAGAACATGGAGTAGTTAATGTCATTTAATTAACAAGTTACAGTTCCATGTAGTCATCTTAAGTTGAATGTTGTTCTTAGTTTTATACAAAATGCTGAAGCTATTTATGCTTGATGCTCTTTACCATATTCATGTTCTTTAATTTCTTTGCAAAATGATCCTTAGTTTATAGTAAAAATTGCAGTTCTGTAATGTGGAGTGACAAGTTCTGCATAGCAGTTGTGATAATCTCATGGGGGAAAAAAGACTGAAAGCATGCTGTAAATGACTGTCAGTTTTCTGACAACAAAACACTTGAAAATTATAGAAGTTTTAGCTTATATTGCCTTCAACTTTTATTGTTAAATGTTTTGTATTATCAAGTTAAAGGGGATTGTTGTATGTATATTGTCCTTCTTCCTTGATAGTATATTTAAAAATTATTTTTCTAATTAAAAAAATGGAGAACATTAATAATGCAATGGTAGCATTTGATTTAAGCATGTCTGTACTGATACATGCTTTCTTCCTCGGTATTAGAACAGTCAAAAAATACCATGTTTCTGGGTTTTCTTAAAAAGAATTAAAGCAACTTCAGTACAGAACAAATCAATTCATTATATGGTATACTAATAAAACTCTTGTTTCCAATAAAATGCAGAAATTTTTCCCAGGAGTGGAAAAGAGTTAACGAAATAAATATTTAAAGTGTGTAGTCAAGCATCGATATGTGCAAGGTATGATGTGTGCACTTCCATTCAAACTAGTGATACTACAATAGTTAGGAAGCAGGTGTTTAAAAAAATATGCCAGCTAAACTGCAGATGTCTCCGCCCCAGATTGACTTGGTAAGGCTAGAAAAATGATCAGTAACTCAGTGTGGCATGTTAAATCCACTGTGTCAATGCAGGTTGATCAAGCAATTAATATTGTGTATCCTTGAGTACGCAAATGTTTCAGTAATGTCATTATAGTTTGCTATATATAAAAGGTGAAAAGGTTGTAATAAATATTGGAGGAGAAAACATAAATTCAGAATGCTTGCAATCCAGCGTACTTAAAATGCATGTTGCAGCATGCTATCTAGTTAAGCAAATACAGTGACAAATGAGTTCTTTTAGCTTTCAGTTTTGAGCAAATGCTGAGGGTGAGGAAGAGAAGCCTCCTGTGGGATGGGGGAAAAAGTGGAAACCTCCTTTCACAACCCCTGGAGAAGGTAGTCCAGGTGCCTCTGTGCTTCCCTAGGTCCTTCCATAAATGTACCTTCTTTTTCTGAAAACAAAGACACCAAAGCAACATGCCGCTTTCTCAATGCTTTACTCACCATAGATTCATAGAATCATTTAGGTTGCAAAAGACCTTTAAGATCATCAAGTCCAACTGTTAACCTAGCACTGCTGAGTCCATTACTAAAACCATGTCCCTAAGCACCACATCTACACATATTTTAAATACTTCCAGGGATGGTGACTCCACCACCTCTCTGGGCAGCCTGTTTCAATGCTTGACAGCCCTTTCTGTGAAGAAATTTTTCCTAATATCCAACCTAAACCTCCCCTGGTGCAATTTGAGGCCATTTCCTCTCGTCCTATCACTTGTTACTTGGGAGAAGAGCCCAACACCCACCTCACTACAACCTCCTTTCAGGCAGCTGTAGAGAGCGATAAGGTCTCCCCTCAGCCTCCTCTTCTCCAGACTAAACAACCCCAGTTCCCTCAGCCGCTCCTCATAAGGCCTGTGCTCCAGACCCTTCACCAGCTTTGTTTCTCTTCTTTGGACACTTTTTTCCATAAGGAAAAACAAACCACTTCTGAAAAATGTTGTATCAGGAGTGGAAATCTGTGTTCTCAAATGTATCCTGGAATTTCTCTTTGAAGATCTGGAATAATATTTAGTTACACTTGTGTCAGAGTATCATTTGTACTCCATATGTGCAAACAGATTCTTGAGAGTAGTTGTGCCCCATTGAACACCAAATGCTGATTGTGGCTTTCTCCTGTCCTTTTCACTTTTTGCACTGGACGGTTCTCTGATTCTTACAGGTATCTGTAAGAAACCATTGCAAAATTCCTGAAAGTTGTTATTCTTATTTTCATGTTTCTGGATGTTTAATTTTCACTGAAGACTTTATTTTCCTTTCCAATTTCTTATATCCCGGTATAGGCAATCAATGATATATGTAAACTTAAATGTGAATAGGCAAGTTTTGTCATTTCAGTAAATTGGTTCCCTTGTAACACAAACCATTGGGAGCATTCTTTCCTCTGGTCTGTATTTTGGTTTTCTGTGCAGCTTTGCAAGTAATCTCTGGGGCTTCTTGTGCCCATCTGGCATGGTAGACTTAACATAGAAAGGGAAAAACTCCATATGCTTGGCTGAAAATGAGCATGACAATGATAAACGTCCTGCTGTAGTGAATGAACACTCCAGAAGGACAGTTTGTTTAATAGTGATAATAAAAAAGTAGCAATTGTTTTGAAACTTGTGCTATGTCTAAATCCTCTACTTTCAAAGCAGGTAGGGAGCAACAGTCCTAATGTAGCTCTAGTTTGTTCAACCCAACTCCTGTTTTAGACAGAGCTTTTAATACTGAGACTGGCCAATATGGGTCAGAAGATGTCATACAACTCTAGGAAATCACAAAAATTACAAGCTGTTCTGCACAATGCTTTAGTAGGGTCACAGGTGATGCTTCTTTAAGGGTTTCCTCCACCACAGCTAAGCTTCCATGAAGATGTTGACATAGATAATACACATTTGACTGTGTGAACTTAAATGACACTTAAAGAGAAAGCCGCAGGCATTCACAGTGTGTGCCTGTAATAAAATTACTTCCACTATTTACTATTAGAAATAATAGGGGGGGAAAAGACCCCTCTATTTGTACTCAAGTATTTTTGTTTGTAATTGTAGTGATATTGAAATACAATATGCATCTAATATTAACTTAATTAAAACCAGAAAAGTATCTGGAAAATGATTTGGAGACACAGATCTTTGCCCTCTCTAATATGAGGATTTGAAAATAAATCCAAAATAAAAACCCTGTATCTGACTACAATTCTTTATTGTCAATTTTAACCGCTACAAAATAACAAAAAGGCTTAAGATTTGAGTCTACTTCCTCAATAGCTAAACAAGGACTAATAGAAGTTGTTATAAGACTGCTAGAATACTGCAAGAATCTTCTGATCTTACCTTGAAAATAAAGCAACCATTGTTGTTACCCACTGGACAATGTTTAACTTCAATGGAAAGACTTGCATATTTCCTGAAAATAATAGTTGAACTTACTGCTACAAAACTGTTCTGCCTGTATGTTGCTTCGTTTTCCTTTGGCTTCATTTTCCATCCTGTCCCTGAAGAAAAACTGTAGACAACTGTAACTGTTCCTTTCCCTTAAAAAATATTTTTCTTTTCTCTTGCTCATTGCCTGTGCCTTGCATTTAGGGAAACCCTGTGGGATGTGGGAAAGAGCTGTGCCAGTTCTCCATGTTCTCTTCTTATCTTGCAAGATACATCTGTTTGTCTGTCTAGATTTAGACAAGCAAGGTAGCTGCTTTCTTGCCTAGAATAGACATAAGATCCAGCCTTAAATAGCATTTTAGTTCCTTGGGATCCTTAATAGCACAAATATTTACTGTTTTATGCCACTGGAGGGTCTTGCTTTTCAGCTTGCTAACAATCCTTTTCTTGCTTCCTTCTTCATTTTAAATTGGCTTAAACTCAAATCTATTGATTTAAATGGAGATCAGTTCCTACATGAACCTCTAGCACTACTTTTCATTACTTTTCTATAGTAAAACAACTCTTAATTAGGACTCCAGAGACCAAGTCTCTCTCCTGGCAAAACAACTTTTTTTTAATATATGTATAGAAGCTAGAAAATGATTTGCAGTAATTAAAACATTTTTTGTGATCATGAGCATTGACTGATGGTGTTACTGTTTGGGTTGACATTTACCTCTTTCACTAATATCATCAAATCTATCTGTAAAGCTTGCTTTTTCCACTTGTTAATTCATTTGCACAGTAGTTTATCTACTTTCTCTATGGTTAGGGGTTTTTTTGATGCACTAAAACAGTTCTTTCTCTAATGGGTTGGTATGATGAGACCCTGTTCTCTCTTTGGCCTTAAATATAAAATAAAATGCTATGCATTATCTGTTGCTTTGAGTATTTTGGAGAGAAAAACTTAGATTTACTTTTTTTTTAAACTAAAGGATTTTGTAACATGAGGACTTGAAAATGTGTTGACAAACAAGAAAAGGAATGGTGCAAAACCTGTATCATAGCACCAATATCAGGGTGGGAAATGTGGGAAATTTACTTTAAGAAATAAAGATTAAAGATTTGAAATAAAATGATACAAAACTTACAATAT